ATTATAACATAATTAGAGTTTTAATATTAACTCAATTGTTATGCAATGATATGACGACAAGTGATCTCAAAGCTCTGGTCGGACACAGCAATGAAGACCGACGTATCGATTGGACACTAATTCAAGATTTCGTTGATTTGCATAAAAAGTTTGCCAATACTTTGCCTTCAAATTCATTGAATGAGTCATTTGTGGCCACAATTGTCTACAATTATTTCTCGGACTCTCTATCGGACACTCAATTCCTAAAAATCTCTGGAAACACATCCAAAGAGTCGGCAAAGACTGAAAGCAAACGAAAACTGTTTTTATATATTTTGGGCGGAATTTCTTACAATGACTTCATTTCTATTCCCAAAGAACACCAAAAAGATGTCATTTTTTGCTCAAACGGTTTGATTACTCCCAAAACGACAATCAATTCAGTTATTTACCAATAAATGCATTCAATACTCATTATAACCCAATTAACCAAACCATTGGAAATATACCACTTTGAAGACTATTTTCAAAAAATAAAAATTAATTTTTCTTATTTCATATTCATGTAAAGGAATTCACAAAACTTTAACTGTAGTGTAAAGCAAGAAGTTGTAAAAGTAGTAATGTTTACAAGTTATTTGACATTTAAGTTATAAATATGATTTAATATGAATTCACTTTACAATAATTGTTACTACTTTGTGCCTGTCTTTGGAGAGGTGTAGGTCTAGTCTAACTAATGTAATCAAAATGATTTATTAATACTTAATATGCAAATAGAGTGCTATAAATAGGAAACACTTACAATGTTATAACTCTTACAATTAGACCTTCACTTGTATTTGTAGTGAATTGTATTCACACAGTGTTTGTGTCGTTCAATACAATGATGTAATGCATTGACAACACAAACAACACAAACAAAACACTCACTCATTGTTTGCCAAAACACTTGTCATCTATTAGTGACTGAAATACCAGTTGAGGTGATAATCACGGCTACAATGGCCTCACTATTGCTGTCACTTCAGCAACAGTTTGCCGACAACACCGCAGACATCACTCAACGACTGATCCAATTGCAAAACAATGTGATAAACACCGGTATAATTGACATTCACTGCAACCCTAAACGCAATCACATTAATGATTGGATCCATTCATAGATAACAGACAAACACTTTTGCTGGACATCAAGAGATTGCTGGACGAGACCAACGAACTCGTGAGTAAACCAAACATTACTCATTAAGACATTGAATGAGTGTTGAGATGTCATGTCTTCATGTCTTTGACAGTTGGAACAAATGGATTTAGACGTG